GTCCAGGCTCCTACAGGATGATTGTTTAGAAGACTGTATGGATTTTTATTTCAGTAGCAGGAGCTCCCCAGCCCTGGCTGAGTGCTCATGAAGTGCTAGTCTGAAAAAATTTGAGAAACATCTGAGCATGGTGACCCATGCTGTAATCCAAACACCAGAAGCTGAGGCCAAGGTGGGAGGATCCAAAGTTGAAGGTCAAAAACCATACAGGCAAGGAAAGAAATAAGAGAGTCGGCAAAGCTGAGGTGCACTGGGGCAGTTTGAAGGAGCGATTGCACTGCACATGCTTTTGATGTCTTTTGAATAGAGCAGTGGTTCTCAACCTTTCTAATGCTGCAACCCTTTAATAAAGTTTCCTGTGGTGACCCCCAACTTCATAACTATAATTTTGCTACTGTTATGAATCGTAATATAGATATCTGATATGCAGCTCCTGTGAAAGGGTCATTTAACCCCCAGAGGGGTCATGGCCCACAGGTTGAGAACCACCAGAATGGAGTCTCTGGGGAGATGGACTGAGTGCATAAAAGGGGAGTGAGCCTGGGTGAGGAGGGAAGTGAGGCCTGAATGATAAAGCTGCTATCAAGTAAACTACAGAGCTGTTTTCAAAAGTACTTAACAGACAAAAACTTTATAATCCAAACAAATCAAAGCTATAAGAGTTGATTTAAATGAAAAAAGTACTATGTGTGAGTGTGTATACATGTGAGTATGTGTGTGTCTGTCTGTCTCTGCACTACCTACATTCATAAGCTCATGGGAGTCAGAAGAGAGCATCAGATGCCCTGGAACTGGAGATCGAGGTGGTTATGGGCCAACATTGGGTGTTGGGAACTGAATCTGGGTCCTCTGCAAAAGCAGCAAGTGCTCTTTAACCACGGAGTGTTCTTTCCAGTGTGTATGTTTATTATAAATCTTAATTTTAGGAATCCAAATATATCCAATCCTCACAAAAGAATACACAGAATTCTGATAGCAAAAACGAAACAAAACAAAAACCCTAAAACAAAAACAACAACAACAACAACAAAAAAAAAAAAAAACATGCATGACTAAGGGAAAACATCAGACAATGGCAAAAGAGGAGGTTCAGCCATTCCCCCTAACTCCCTACAGAGGTACTGTGTAAACACATTAACCAACACCCTCGGAGACAGTCCTAGAAATATTTGACACTAGGGAGCTAAAAATAAGCCTACTTCAAAGTCAGCATGAAAAGCTGAGATATAGTCTCCCCTAAACTCAACCAGGACATCAGGGACCAGTCCTCATCTGTGTCTCTCTGAGGACTGAAGGGTTTGGGCCACACTTGTGAGGCTGCTTCCAAAGGACCTGTCTTTGCATGCTAATCTACTTGGTCCAGCAGGCACAGCTACCTGGGACCATGGAGGGCAAAAAAGCATCTTTAAAACAAGTCCTCAGATCTCTTTCTGTATCTTCACAGTAGCTCAGCACAGAGTGATAGGTGATAAGGAATAATTTCTGCTTTTACCCGGGAGGGTGTAGGATGGATATCAAATATCTGACCTATTAAGCTGCTGCCCAAGAGTCTGGCATCTAACTTGCTTGCATCCAAAGGCAAACAAGGCAAGCAAGTAGGCATCCTCTAAAGCATGAGCACATCAAGGCTCCCCACCACAAACTTTACCCTAGTAATAGAAATAGGGCTCTCTCCCTGAAAGGAACTGAATTGTGCAATAAGCATCCCTTTTCTAGATGTTTTGAAGTCTACCTTTAATTTGTTGACTCTTGGGGCTGATAAGATGAGCAATCCTAATCCTTGTAGTTTAAATGACAGTGTGGATAAATGTTGTGTGGATCAACTCAACAGCTGAAGTCATCAATAAAGGCTCTTCTCTAGGTTCATCCTAGGAGGGCCAAGTCCCTATCTAGCATCCCAATGTTTTGTTTACTATCATAAAGACTAGTCTCTAACTTGCCTGTTGGGGACTGAAATTTGCCCTATTCTTTCGGGCGGCAAAAAGATAACTAAATTATTTTAAAGCACATGACGTTTAAACAAGCATAAAGACATTTACCATAGGTTCTTTCCTTGACTCTGAGTAGAGCTAGTGGGTAGTAAACCCCAGCTCCTGGATGTTTTCCTGCAGACAGAAAGGATACACATGAAGCAATCCTACTTTTGCAGATGCTGTGGGAGGGATTGGTTCCTACCTCTCATTTTCAGTACACACATGGGGAGTCAGTGTTTTCTAGGCTCCTGGGAACCACAGAGGAAAATAGATGTCAGTTTGGGTGAGCACAGAGGTTCAGGACATCCCTCAACCCCCTGTGTGAGGTTTAGTGAGGTTATCTCCGGGACAAGTCTGTGAAGACTGGAAGAAGTCAGAGAGCTAAGGGAGATGAAGAAATAAGGATATATGTTTCACACAAAAGAACAGTGAGTATCCACAGAAAGCAAAAGAATGCCCAGTGAAGGATTCAAATGCCAGTAATGAAGATGCTACAAAGGTGGGAGACCAAGGCTTTCAAGGTAAGAAATCCAAGTCTTCTCTGGTTCAATGGAAAGATACAAAAATGTAAAAGGACTCAAGTATATGCCATAGAACTTATGGCATGAAAGACAGTTGGTTTGATCAAACAGAAATTGTTATTGAATTTGATGATAGGCTACCAAACATATCCATAGAGTAGAAAAAGGAGGAAGAAGAGAAAAAGGAGGAGGATGGGTAGGAGAATTATACCAAGTAGAAACACAGGTCTATACAAAGGAATGCAGAACATTAGAAAAAAAAATGTTAACTGTGTGGATGAACACCACTTTTGTCATTTCTCTTTCAAAGACCAGTGGCTGAATGAAAAGCCAAATGTAGCATGCACTTTATAACATATAAAAGTGAGACTTCTGATAACAATAGCACAAAGGTCTAGAGGGGAGAGACAGGCATACAAGTAACCCGTTTCCACTTTAATAATGCAGCCAGCACAAACAAATGCAAATTCAACACAAAATAAGTAGAAGAAATGAAATAATCAAATCAAAGCAGAGGCAGAAGACACTTTGGGGGTGACAACTGTTTGCTTTACTGACAGCAGTGACAGTTTGATGAGCATGTGTGCATGCCAAACATCAATTTCAATAGCTCATGTACGGTATTTTGTGTCATTTATATTTCCGAACAGCTCTAAAGTGAAGACATAGAGAAAATTACAGACTAGGGTCAATTTCATGCCAACTCTAAGACGAGGAAATAAAACTGTCTCAAGAAAAATCAGGTAGCCTAAGGAGCATCTCATAAACTTCTGTCTGTATCCTGAACACAAGGCCCACAGAAAGGGAAACTGCCGTGGTGTAATATTTGGCACTATAACATGGCTGATATTTCCTGATGATCCCTTTGGAACTTAAGATGAGCCCCTCTCCTCTCAGTGCACAGTCTCACCCCCCCCCTCTCTCTCTGACCCACTGACACTACTCTGAGGTGAGATGGAGCAGATGAGGGGAAAGCACCTGCATGTCCATCTCCATCACCCCAGTATGCTGCAATCTGCATGCTGAGTTCCCACCTGGGAAACAGATACAGTATGAAAATCTCTACCTGCTCCACACCAGCACGAGCAGCTTAGCAATAGTGCAACACCCCTATAATATGTCAACGTGAAGTCACACAGCACCCTTTGCGAACTCCCTTGTGCTTCTGTTTAAAGATATGATGTCATACTGAAACAGGGCAGACTGTAACTTACTTTGTACTTACTGTCTCTCTCTGCTATACATACTCACATATCTTGATTATTGAAAACTATAATTTGAAATAAATAATGGGTAGCCTCAAAATATCGCAAAACTTATTAATTTGAAAGTTTTTTTTATTTGCAACCATCTTCTGAACTTACTTGTAACCAGTGTACTAGGTAGCTGACATGTTAGATTCTTTGGGTTAGTATCACTGCAAGTCAGTTAAGAACTTCTGCATATACAAAGATGCCATTTAACCTGAATTGCATGGCAGTTGCTGAAATAGATGAAAACCCAGAGACACGGGCCCAGGAATTTAAATAATTCAGTGTAGACATTCAATGCCCATTTGGAGATATATTGGTTTACTTTTAGAAAATAATTGCTATTATAAAATGTTGAGGTATCTATTTTGGAGGTATCCAGTCTTGTGTTGGTAAATGCCATCATTCCAGTTTGAAGGGAGAGGAAGCCTTGTTAGTTGGGATAGTCTTTCTCAATTCCTGTGCAGATAGTCCTGCTATGGCTGATTTCAAGTTGCTTTAACTGTCCTTGAAGCTGGAAAAAGGACACAGTTCTTCTGAGCTTAATAGTGAGCTGTGAGAGCATCCTGTGGAAAATATCTCATGTCTATAGCTCACACCCAAACATCTAACAGAAACAGCTAAACCCATGTATTTTATTCTTTATGGATGACTTGTCAACTGTGAAGCTACCCTTCATCTTCTGGAAGACATTCACCTGAATCATTATCTTTAGGAGACATTACCCAGCACAAAGTATTTGAAATATGGAGCAAATGGACTTCTTCCACAGAAATGTAGTTATCCAAAATTAGCTGAAATTAAGAGTGTATTGTGGACTATCTAACAAATGAAAAGCAAATAACACAAACAAGACACAACATTTTAATACTGATCCCAGACAAGATTAATTGTTAGTACAAAGGGAGAGTGTTAGAATAAAGCCACATGTATCTTCAATCCCAGACATCATGTGCTCCACTTTTTAATGGAGGGATAGGCTTCTGTTTGTAATTTTCTTAGGGATCAGTTTTGATTTGCACTAATACTAATAGGAATTAATGAGTGGAGGGAGAAAGCCATCTTTTTATGGTGTTGTCCACAAAGAGAGATTTTCTCCCAAGCTGCATAAGGAAAACTAATGGAAGAAAAGAAAAATTATTAAACTGGAAGTTTCAACAAAAGGGGAAGAAACCAAGAGCAATGACAGCTCCAGCATTTTAACACAAGTATAGCAAAGAAATCATAGAAGGAATAACAAAAGAGCAGACATATACCCAAGTTCTGAGTCTGACTGCAGCTGGAGCACTGAGGGGTCTGTGTCCCACTGCAGGGTCCTAATTGTGCAGCACAAAGGAAAAAGAACACAGAGAATTAACAAAGGAGGAGGGCAACAGAACAAACCAAACCGCATCATTCCTCAATGGCATGTACAGTACACACACAGAACATCCTTCCCGCCCCCCGGGGGTTGGGGTTATGACAAGAAAGGGAGGAGCCTGCCTTTCCTTTGAGAGACTGCTTGATATGAAATGATGCAACCCTTTCCATGGAAGAAAGCCCGGAGCCAGTTACTTCAGCACACACACACACCCTAAATTTATACTACAGATTGACGGACTCGGGTGTACGAGCTGCTGCACAACTCTCTGTCACCTCAGAGCCCAAGCCCTTCTTGGACCTGTAAGCTCTTCCATGGGGTAAAGGGAATTAAGTAAAGATGGACAAGGACAGTAACATCTGAGAAGGTCAGACTAAATGGAGCGTGACTGCAGGGTCTGGAAACAGTTGGCTTCCTCGGGTCAGTTACTACAAATACAGCACCATTACAGTTGAGACGGATGAGTCGTTTTATCAACACAGATTGTACCAAAACAGTTTCCAATGTTATCGTTTGTCTCCAAGGTGCCAGGGATTAATTATGTCTTAGATCTTCTGTATGTTTCATAACACACAGCACACAACGTAATTGTGAGGGCATCACCTTTCCCTTTCTGTTAATAAGATGGAATTACTATTCCATAATAAACAGTATAAATACAGACCTTCCTCAAGTAGGTTCTTTACATTTTTCAAGGAAGAATCTTTCCCAGTGAAGCAGGCATGAGATTTTCTGAGAGACAAGTGATGAACACTGTCTATGTCTTTGCTGTTGGGCATATGTGCTTCAAATCTGACCTGACTTACCAGCTGGGTAACACTGGGAATGCTGCTCAAGCTCTCAGCCTTGGTACCCCTTGGCTCACTAAAAATGTAGGCTTAACAGCAGTGACCTTGACATCTCTTGAGGGATCATGGGAAATACAGGCACTCAGGTCTCAGCCCAGACTTACTGGCTCCACACTGCACCTTCACTGTGTTCTCAGGTCACTGTGAGCATCTTAAGGTTTGAGAAGTCCTACTTGGTTTCCTGGTTGCAAAGACTTACCCTGGATCATAAAGCTATGTGTGCCATGCAGAACTTTCTGAACTTATTTATGACATATCTTCCCTTCTTGTACTTTAGGATATGCTGCAATCCTTTCTTCCACCAGATAGCTGCATGGCTTGGGAATGCACTTCTTTCAAACCTTAGCTCCTCTGCTCCTTCTTCAGAGATCTTCCATTTCTCTCCCAGATATTAAGTAGCATTTCTTACTACTCTCATTATTTTATCCTGCTCCCCCTTCTTCATAGTACTAATACTATGCTGGGGTTTCATTTTACATCCCTTTATTTATTACTGATATTGTTTGATTCAGGACACAAGTGTCTGCATGGCAGGAGCAACCACATCCCTAGAAGACAGAGATGTACCTGGAATTGCCCCTGTCACAGGTGTTAATATAGTGGAATATCTGTTGAATGAGTGCATGGATGAGTCATTCTCTGATGTCTGCATGGGTTAAATGCAATCTACCTAGGAAGTATAAACCACAATTTGACAACCATTAACTATGCTTCTTACTATCAATAATTGTTTTTTTGAGTCCCTGCCTTACTTGCCTGAGAGTTCTATGAACTCTGCCTGCAAAGGCAGATGGAGGAACTTGTAGAGATTTTCTGTTTAGCTCTGCCTATATGCTTGGCTCCTTACCTGGATGTTCTGAAAGAAGATTGTCCAAGTCCAGTGTGAACATGAACTGGCCATGTTTCATAGAGTAGCAATCCTAAAACCTTAAGGTCCATGAAACTGCACCAAATTTTTGTTTACATGCCAATTCTGCTCTAATAGAGCCATGGGGTCTTGGGATTTTACATTTTAGACAAGTTTCAGGAGATCTGAATGTTGTTGGTCTGTGGATCACACTGTGCATTAGGGTCTTGATCCTAAACTACTGTGAGGGCTCAGAGAAATATAAAATGCAGAGTCCAACTCAGAAATTCTGCTGTAGTAGGTCTGGAGTGCAGTTTGCATGAGTAACATGTTCCCAGTGGTTGCTGCCTGTGGGACAGTCTTCAGGGAATGACTGGGTAGTCGGAAGCCTTTCTGTTGTCAGCAAACAGAGAGCATCAGTTCTGCTCAGCTCCACCAATAGCTAAAGTCCAGTTTATATTAGCCTAGCCACTTCCAGCCCAAAGAACCAGAATGTCGGGGGCAGGATCCAGATATCAACATTACTGAAATCTCTCCTAATGCTTCTCACATGCAGCCAAAGGGATGAACCACTGCTCTGGATTCAGTCTGTGCTCAAGGAAAGCAGTTCTTCCTGTTCTAGATGCCAGTTTCACTTTGGTTCAAACAGTAGCTGGGATGGAAGCCATTATAAACACTCAAGGAGCTCTAAATAAGGACATTGCCTCTATTACAGACAGAAATGCAGCCTTTGGCTCTTACTGACTGACAAGCATTTCCATGTCAGCAGTGGGCTCGGTATAGCCAAGGTGCCTTCAGGTTTTGTTTGGACACAATGACCTTTCTTGGTATTTTCCACTCCTCTCTGCATGAGAAGAGTGCAATTATAAGTGGTCTTGCTGTTCTGTTACCTACTGAACCTGCTGTGCCCAGGAAGAGTACTAGTGGTCTTTGGATTTCTATCAGAATCATCTACTTAAGAAGTAAAGATTGTCTGCTGTTTGCATTTAAAAATATTATATATATATATTTAAAAATATTATATATATATATATTTAAAAATATTATATATATATTTAAAAATATTATATATATATATATATATTTTTTTTTTTAACTAAGTACACATTTGAAAACAGGTACCCTTGGAGTCCAGAAGAGGGAGTTGGGTCCCCTGGAGCTGAAGTTACAGGTTGTTATTGGCTGTGTAACCTAGATGCTGCGAACCAAACTCAGATCCTCTACACAAGTAGCACATGCTTGTAGCTGCTTAGCTTTCTCTCCAGTCCATGGTGTTTTCCTTTCTAACCAGAGCAACCGAGTTGTTCTATGCAAATAAATGTGTGGCAGCCATGTCCCACTCCATCAAACACTTTATTCAGCAAAAGAAACCCCCAGGGATCACCAGCAGAAGACTAGGGCATGAGAAAAGCCAAGGGCACTACCATGTGTGCTAGCTTTCTCTTCTTTTCACATTTCCCACATGATCTATAGAGAGGTCAGAATTACCCAGATGCACCTTTTTTGTTTTGTTTTAAGTAAAAAGCAAAGCAAAGTCTGTTCCTTAACTAGGCAAACACTGATTTGTGTTTGCAAGGAAGAGCTATGATATTGTGTTGTTTACCAAATTATCTCTGCTTAGATTTACAGAGAAGCTACAAAACAGGTGGCTGTACCTTAGGGAGGCCACATCTGGATCTCAAGAAGGAGTAAACCTAAAGCCTTTTAATATAAGAACATTAACATACACCATTTTGGCTTGTTATCCTCATTTTGGTATATTTTTATTGAGCCAATTGACATAAATATCGCTTTGCAACTTTATCAAGTTACTCTGTTATTGAAAGTAAAATAATACATCATGCTACAGCTTCTTGGAGGGTTTGAAATATTTTGGGGAGTTTATTTGTAGAAATGAAAGTAATACTATAAAGTAGTATCATATTTTTTTTTTTCATGTAAAAAATCACTGCATTTACCACGACAGTTTTGTGTTTCAGTTTTTCTGAGATGGTTCATTTAATGCATGCAGGGCACAGAATATTTTTGATCAGGACATTTGTTTACTTATTCAAGTAACACTTATGAAGTGACTCATTTGTAAGACATTGATGAAGGAGAAAGGGAATTCAAGCAAACCATAGTCCTCTATGGAGTGATAGGATGCACTCAAATGGCTTTATAGGACAAGGTAGAAAGCAAAGCATGATACATCAATGGCACCACAGGTATGCAAAGGGCCACAGGCTTGCACTTAAGAATGTGATTAAGTAAATAAGGGAATTGAGACATATGGATATTCATATTCATAATTATATACTAATAACATATACTAAGAAGAAAACCATTCCCATCAATAGTGCAGGACTTGGCATAGTTAAAAACTTCAATTAATACTAGATTGCAACTAAATAAATGCCACAAAAGGGAAAGGGATTAAAGATAATAGCAGCTATAAGTTTCCCTGCTAAGTCTTTTTTTTTTTTTTTTTTTTTTTTTTTGTATGGCTGGTTGGGATATAGGCTGGGCCTCATTTGTCCTTTGGAAGCCAGAGCAGGAGACACTTTTTCTCCATGGAGATCAGCGATTCCATTTGACTTAGCCCTTGAATGACAGAGTTAGGTTTGAACAAACACTCATTGTCTCTAGTGCCTATTTTATTGGACATGTTGGCTGAGTGACTCTATGAGACCCTGTAGACTCTAGCTTCCGACTGATCCATTTATCATGAGAACAATAACTTCTAGGCCAAGTAGCCATACAAATCAAATTGCCTTCTTGTCTTGAATATCAGTTTCCACTGAAGCCAGATGGCTGGCAGAGAGTTTGAATTTAGCAGAGGGCAAGTTGGATATTTAAACACTGTAGCCTCCCCTGGCCTTCCTCCAAAATATCTTCATCTGTCACTAAGAACATAGAAAACCACCACTGCTGCCCACATCTCTCCTTTTTAAATTTGTAGTCAGACAAACCTAGTTCTTTCTCATTAGAACCTCTCCCTCCCTCCCTCCCTCTCTTCCTCCCTTGTTCCTTTTTCCTTTCCTTCCTTTCCTTTCTCCCTTCTTTCTTCTTCCTCCTTCTCTTCCTATACCCCCTTCCCCATCCTCTACCTCCCCTGTTCTTTTAATAAACTAAGTCAATTAGATTTCTGTCCAAGATTCCTGCCTGGAAACCATCCTGGTTTTGTTTACTTGCTTTAATGTTTGTCTGCTTTGGTTATGTGTAGACGCCCTCTTGGATTAACTCTCCCACAATCTATGAGGAGCCCTCACAAGGGACCTG